GGGAGGGGAAGGAGCAACAGAGCCAGAAGGAGGAGCTGAGGAAGAAAGCGAAGCCTTCTTACCCGCCGGGGAAGAGGAAGGAGAGGAGCCAGGCTTACGCTTCTGACTTAAAGAGACCGGTGTCCCAGCAACTACGTACCGGGCAACGGATTCCAGTGTCTCAACAGGAGAAGCCGAACGAGAGCACACACGACAGCCGTTAGGAGAGCGATGGACATCCGCCCGCACCGACAGGCGGTGGGGATGGAGGAAGAGGATGGGAAGGAGGATCGGAGGGGGACGAGGAAGAAGACACAGAAGACACGACAGACCGGGTAGAAGGAAGGGGAACCCCAGACAGAGGACCAGGAGGAGGATCCTTCGGGAGAGAACCCAAAGGAACAGAGGAGGGGGCAGTGGGCGCATCAGGGTCCAAGGCCCGGAAACGGTTGTGAGTCTGAGGAAGGCGGGAAGGACGAGGAGAGGAAGAGCGCAACACGCGAGCATAAGAGATATTAGCATAAGGCGGGAGCCGGCGAACCTGGCGCCTCGCCTCAGGAAAAGATAAACGCTCCCGGTGCTTCAGGTTGAGGACGGCTGCCTCAAGCTTGTAATGGACACACGCACGGGAGAAGGTAGGATGGGCCTCACCGCAGTTGAGGCAACGAGCCTGGGGAGAAGTGCACTCCGACTTAGAGTGACCTTCGCCACCACACAAAGGACAGAGAGAGACAGTCCCGGAGCAGCGGAGGGCACCATGCCCAAACCTCCAGCACTTGTTGCAGAGCCGAGGAGAAGGAATGTACTCCTGGACAGAGCACCTGGCACCAGCAAGAATGACAGAGGGTGGAAGGGTCCTACCATCAAAGGTAATCTTCACAACCCGGAGGGGTTGACGGCGACTACCACGAGGGGGACGAGTAAACGTGTCCACCTGGAGAATAGAATGGCCCTGGGCAGCGAGGATATGGCGAATATCGTCGTGGCAGTCGCGCAGGTCCCGAACACCGGTCGCAACATGGGGCGGGAGCAAAATAGTGCCAACACTGGCATTCAACCGAGCGTTCTTCGAGACCCGAACGGGGGTCTCGCCAAGGCAGGATAAGGCAGCCAAGCGGGAAGCAGCATCCTGAGAAGGAGCAGCAACGACACGTGTACCGAGACGAGTGGGGTTGAAAGTAATGGAGGCATCCACGGAATCAATGAGATGTCGATGGAGGGAGAAATCGTCGGGAGGCGCAGAATCAAGAGGGAGGAGATCAAAATATTTGGCCCACGAAGCGGGACCAAACAAGGCTTGATAGGTAGCAGAACTGGAAGGAATCGAGCGAGGGCGGCTGTGACGAGGACGGCGGTGAGAACCCCAGAGAGAGAGGGGTTAAAAGGCGCAGTAGTTACAACTAGAGAAGGAGCCGCGCCAGGGGACGAGGTAGTCACCACTGGGGGCTTGGGGCTCGACCCAACCACAGAGGAGGGAGGGGAGCCAGGGGAAGGAGTCAGAGAGGCCAAAGGAGGAGCAAGGTCGGGGCCCAATGCAGCGGAGGCTACAGAGCCCGGTCTTCCAATACGGACCGACTCAGGGGCTTGGTCGCCCACCCCACGAGCCTGAGAAGGTATGCCAGAAGCAGCCGAAACAGGGGTTATCATCTTGACGAAAAGAAGAATTCATTCACGAATGTGCCCCCACACCCACCATGGAGCCACAATTAGAGGCAGGACACCCAACAAGAAGCTATCGCCGATCTTGTCGGGGCCTCCTAGGGGTGCGTCGTGAGTATACGCCCCACAAACGCCACCTTAAGAAACCGACAGTCCGTCGAGATCGGGTTCAGTGACGAAAGGGGGATTGACAATAAAAGGTTCCCCTCGCTCTCGACGTCGGGTACTACAGTTCTACGGGTGCAAGAGTATGCCTCCTCAAGCACCCGGGCGTCAAAATAGAAGAAGTCCAAGGGAAGAACCAGAACGAGCAAAAGGTCGGCAGGAAACGGCAAGCAGATAGGAGAAGAGGGGGGAGAAAAACGAAACAGAAGGAAAAGGAAAAGATGCCCAGCAGAATTGGAGAGGACGGCAGCAGGAGCACAAGGCTAGAAAAGGACAGAGGACTGTCCCAAGTAGCATCATACTACGGCAGCCGCCCACGAAGCCCCCACACGGCGACAACGAGCTGAGTGGGGAGGGGGCTACACAGCTAGACAAATCGTGCAGACGACGTCACCTCCGTCACCCATATGGCTCCTCCCAGCATAATCCTTTTGCTGTTATTACACTAATACACACATTATATATAAGTATCTACATTTGTGTTCACCATAGAGAACCACTGACCTGGTATGATGAATGCAAACAATAACAGCTAGCACACAGTCAGTAAACGATGATGTCTCCCTCCATCTCTCAGCATCACTCCTCCCACAGCGCTAATTATTTAAAAAATCCTGCTATTATCACAACCCTGGTTATTTATATCACAGTCATGGGTCATCTGTAATATTGTCATCGCTAAATAATAACAATTATATATTTATTTTGACATTTTTCGGCGATGCTGTGGTCACAAGCTGAACAGCAATGCTGTTCGCTCATGCTGCGTGTGCCGGCCTTGGTTGCTCCAACAGTACTGTGCCTCTCACACCTGAGAATATTGCCCATGATTTTTTTTTTAAATGGCATCTGTTTACAAGAGCCCTGAGGAAGCTACTGTGAACCCCGTGTAGCCGCGGGCCATTTGAATCAGGCCTGGCACCCTATGGCGTATATATACGCCATGCGCACCATGGGACATGTTACTCAGGGCGTATATATACGCCATGCGCAGTTTAAGGGTTAACCTATTCAATGACACCAATGCATTATTACAGACAAATGTTAAAACGAAGGGAAAAACGAATGTCTCTTGACAAATTTGTAGCGAGATAAACCAAACACTGAACCACAACCAGGTCCTAGTGGTATTCAGGCAAAACGTAGGAGAGAGAGTACCCCAGAGAAAACATCACTGCCTGATGTGATAATGGAAGGGGACTCCCCTTCCAAACAGTAACAACTCTCCTCCTCCCCCCCTTACCACGATCTTCCATACACCATCAAGAGTCCTCCATAAAGGTAAGAGAAACTTTGGTACTGTATTGTAGTTGGAAAAAACATTGTATTCAGTATAAAATATATTTGTATGTTAATATTTTGGAGGGTGGGGAACAAATTAATTCAATTCCCTATATTTCTTATGGGAAAAATCGCTTCGACCTACGATCCGTCTCTGGGAATGGATTAGCATCGTAAGTCGAGGCCCCATTGTATTTTAAAACTAGTCCCATAATAATAGAGCAATAACTGGAATTTTAACATTTTAATTCTGGAAGCTCATCATAAAATTATTTATATCATTCCAGTGTTCCGACAAATCTTTGTGTTACGTCTTTAATTTTGGTACCAAATTGTTCGCAATGTAAAGGCGCGCATTTTAAAACTAGTCCCAAAATAATAGCACAATAAATAGAATTTTAACAAATATTAAATTTTTTTGACCAAAACCAAATTGATAATCTTTCAAGTGTTCTGATAAAGTTTCATGTTACATCTTTCATTTTGATATCAAATTGTGCGCACTCTAAAGGCGCTTATTTTGAAACCATCCCGTAGTCGATCGGATAAAAAATGATTTTAATACAAATATTTTTGTAATGGATGCGAGTCCTGTCCACGGTTAGGACTCTAGGAAGGAAGGAAGGAAAGAGAGAGAGAAAGAAAAAAAGAAAGAGAGAGAAAAAAAAAAAATATGGACGTGAATGGTGTCCAAAGCGAGCGATAGTGTTAATCCCGCAAATTAGAAACCAGTCATATGAAGGAAGATTGTCAAAGCTTAAATTACATTCACTGGAAAGGTGAAGAGTTAGGGGTGACATGATAGAGGTGTACAAAAGGATGAATGTATCTAACAAAGGGGGATATTAATAGGGTATTAAAAGTATCAACACAAGACAGAACACAAAACAATGGGGTATAAAGTGGACAAGTTTAGATTTAGGAAAGATTTGGGTAAATACTGGTTCGGCAACAGGGTTGTCGATTTGTGGAACCAATTATCACACGACGTGGTGGAGGTGGGGTCCCTCAATTGTTTCAAGCGTGGGTTGGACATTTAAGAGTGATTGGGTGGTTATAAATAGGAGCCGCCTTGTATGGGCCAATAAGCCTTCTGCAGTTACTTTTATTCTTATCTTCTCATGGAGTGAACGATGTGGAGAAAAAATGCAGAAGAGCCAGTGAAGGACAGGGGTGACAGACAATTAAAAAACACTGTATAAACATCAGAGATCCACTGTTCAACATACTCCCAGCGAGTATAAGAAATATTGCCGGAACAAAAGTGGAAATCAAGAGAAAACTGGGTAGTTTTATTGAAGTGCCAGACTAACTGGGCTGTAGAGGATGTGGGCCTGCAGGGTGCTATAAGCAACAACCTATTGGACCATGCTCTAACAAGTCAAGCCTGGCCCTGGGCTGGGCTTGTGGAATACAAGAATTCCCAGAACCCCATCCAGATACAATCCAGGTACAGTATGGAGCCCAATGGTCAATAGAATAACCGATGCTGTGAAATCGACTAACCAAATATTTATACGGCACTGGTTTCCTGCAACAAATTTGGCCTACACAGTTGCTATGAAATTTCAAAAAGCAAATTAAATGCAAAACCAAGTATTATTAAGTCTACCATTACCTAATGCCTACGAGTCTACAACAAAAATGACAATGGTCACATTGAACACTTGTTGCATTAGCACAATTGTCTGGTTAATAAATATTTATTACTTTGCCAGGAGGCCAACAATTATTTATAAATTCTTAGAATTAAAAAATCCCTAGTGTATGCTGTACACATTACATTGCTATTGCTAAGAAGGAAGCATTTTAAGACCATCAAGAAAACAATTTGTAGTTTAGTCTGCATCGAAACTATGCAGTGCCCGGAACAACTACAATATTTTCAGTCAACACTATTGAAAAACTTAGCCTACCATATTTATTTGGCCCAGCGAGGCTCTGATGTTGCTTCATCTTTTTTCCTAAATTGGCATTGACATTTTCTCGATCAGGGGCTGGCACCACAACCGACGACATTTTGAACCTGGAAAAAATTAATCAAATTGACATCATTAAATCATTATAGTTTTACAACAAACTCCTGTGCATGGAGTTTATACTAAAAATATAGCTTGTCCTCCTCTACACACTTCAGTAATATTACTCCTAACTAAAAGTGAACTATCCTATATTGGCAATTTCTATAGTACAGTATCAAAAATATGATAACCAATACTTCCAATAACTTTTTGCACTAAGGAGTACAGGAGCAAGGGACTTCTGCCTTATGTTAGCACGAAGCAAACTTTGAAGCGACTTCAAGAATGTGGGGTAACAATGACCCAACAAGCTTGTGCCGATAATCATTGTCATATTGCCCGAAACGCTTTGCATATTAGTGGCTTTAATTATGGCATGTACTAGCTCTATCTATAAATCCAATATTATGTTTGTAACTCGTCTTCTATGTATATATTTTTACCCGAATAAACATTTGAATTTGAATATACAGTCAAATTCAATCCGGTCCCAGGATAGTTAAACAACCAAACATTTGAAAACCGAAACAAATTTTCCAATAAGAAATAATGGGAATTGAATTAACCCCTTCCACACCCAAAAATATTAACTTAAATACACATTTTATACACAATACTACTCATTTTGTACTACAGTATGTACAAGTATATACTACCTTTATTGAGGACCCTTGTTGGCGTATGGAAGATGGTGAGGAAGAGAGGTTAGTGTTTGGAAAGGGAGTCCTCCTTCCATTATAACATCAGGCAGTTATGACATTTCTGGAGTACTCTTGTTTTGCAGGCATACCACCAAGACCTGGTCGTGGCTCACCGCTCTATTATCTTACCAAAAAATCCGTCAAAGACGCTCTTACCCTACGTTTTAACACTTATCCGTAGTGAGACATCGCATTCATTCACTATGAATGATCTCTTTTACTCTATCATTCTAAACTATTTTCTTAGGTTGATCTTCACCACCGACTTTCTTGGAATCCATGGTGTGATAGAAGTATTATAATTACTTTCATGTTCAGAAACCAAAAAGAGCACAATGAAATTCTTCACAAAGAATTCAGGCGCTATTGTCAGTAGGCGGGACGCTGGTAAACCCGAGGCATGCCACGTGCTTGGGCGACCCATACAAATTGACAACCCCTAGAAGCGAGGCAAACCTTGAACACCGTGTCAAATTTTAAAGAAATCGAGCTCGAAAATTTGAAAAATTTGAAAACCGAGGGTTCCACTGTACATTTAGGAGAGGAGAGAAAAAGAGCCTAAAGCCTTTAAAGAGCCTTTAAAAGTGCTCTATTAATTTAAATATCTGGTAGATGCAGGCAAGATCGGTTCAGGTGAAGTATACAAGGATTGAAGGCTGTCATACTAAATTAGAAATTAACAGGTACAGTACTAAGTTTTTTTTTTTATATAAAAGTACCATGGGTCACAGATTTTAAAAGGGCAGACCACACCTGGATAGCAATGTAAAAGCTATGGACATCTTTAGTGGACTAATCAGCAGTCATTGGTAGAGTCAAATTTAACATTTTAATGAAATCTACTGGAATGGTTTTGTAATTATAATTAATGAGCAATAATTAATTATAATTTACTAGAGCAGTGCTTACAAACCCTGAGACCATGAGTGGTCTCAAAAGTTAGATCTAAAAAAAAAAAACCCACACGCATCCGATACAACTAATACAGCACAGATGAGCATGATACAGCGAGTGTATCCAGTACAGGGCAAGTGCCAGGCATGCTTCGGCCTCCCAGGCCATCGCCCTCACCATTATTAACACCACCCATGTCATCTTCAATTTTTGAAGAAAGTGATCCTATAAATTAATCTTTTTCTGGGTTCAGTGATGCTGCTGTCGATGCAAGTAGCGTAAATAAACAGTGTTACAGAGCACCACTTGGTTCACGAACTTTAATTATCCGAAACTTCCAGTTTCCCGATTGGGGTTGGGGAGTCACGTTACACGAACCAAGTTCGGGTAAGGAAGCAGTCAGCCAAGCGTCGTGCCGGCCCGTGGTGGCGAGTGGGTGGGTGATGGTTTAGTTTGCTCACTGACCGTGTCGGGCGCCGCCTGCTACCCTGTGACGTCACAGACTCACGGCCTATTGTTCCCATTGTTTGAATTTGTCACGCGACTGGAGTGTTCATTCCGTGACTGTTTTACATATCAGCACAATCAATGAACATCCGTGCACCATGTCAACTCCAAATGCACGCATTGTGTCAGTGAAAGCATCTACAAGCGGGTTACGTAACAGAAAGAGGTCAGTGATGACATTCGAGAAGAAAGTTGAAATAATTAAGGAGGTGGAGAGTGGTGTCCCGAGAAGTGTCATGTGCGCTGAATATGGCATTAGTAAAAGTACCGTGTTTGATCTTCTTAAGGCTAAACCTATCATTTTTTACTATTTCTCTAGAAGTGAAAGTGATAAAGCGATACAAAATAGAAAGGTAGTAAGTAAAGCAAAGGTGGAGAGTGTTGATAACGCAGTGTGGGAGTGGTACAAACAGAGACGTGAAGTGACGAAGAAGCCAGTGGCAGGCTGGCTGCTCGTGGAAAAGGCGCGTGAATTTCACCAAGCAATGAAAATTACTCAAAAGTGTGTACACAGTGATGGATGGCTCAGAAGTTTTAAAACCCATCATGGCATTAGGTTCATTAAAGTGCATGGTGAAAGACAATCTGCTGATATTGTTGGTGCTGATGAGTATGTAAGTAAATTTGCGGAGATGGTGCAGGAAGAAAATTTATCTCTAGAGCAAATTTATAATGCTGATGAGACAGGTTTGTACTGGCGTATGCTTCCCACAGACACAATGGCTCATAGTGGTGAGGACGATCCTTCAGGTGGTTATAAACAGAATATAATTTCTTTGTTGTGCTGTGCAAATGCAGCTGGCACGCACAAATTAAAATTACTTGTGATTGGAATTAGTAAAAACCCCAGGGCTTTAAAGTCAGCCAGGTGATGACTTGGCCCTGTGATTTTTAATGACCAGCCAAGTGCGTGGATGTCTCGAGTAATATTTGTCGAGTGGTTTAATAAGAACTTTGTACCCGAGGTGAAGGAGCACCACCTGAAAAGTGTTGGTCTCCTGCAAAAAGCAAAGTTGTGCTGCTGCTAGATAACAGTTCAACGCATCCACGAGGTGATGAGCTTGTAAATGGCAATATTATTGGAACGTTCTTGCCACCCAATACAACTTCAGTGATCCAACCCATGGATCAAGGAATAATTAAGAACCTTAAACACCACTACAAGAGGACGTTTGCCAGACGTCTTAATAATCAGCTTGGAACACTTAAGGACTTTTATAAAGTCTTCACAATAAAGTCAGCTATCTGGACTATTGCTAGTGCATGGGATGAGGTAAAGCAGACAACACTAAGAAATGGTTGGAAAAAAACTTTGGCCCACGTCAAGTCTGTTTCCTGAGGAAGATGACTAGGCAGATTTTGAAGGATTTGCGGTGAAGAAAGTTAGCAAGAGGAAAAAATTAAGAGAGGAACTCCTAGCCTATGTCAAGGGGATTAAGTCCCCCTGGTTGATTCCTGGTCGATACCTGGTTGATGGGGTTTTGGGAGTTGTTCTACTCCCCAAGCCCGGCCCGAGGCCAAGCTTGACTTGTGAGTCAAGTCCCCGAGCTCAGCAGAACTGGTAACTGAAACAATAGAAGATGACAGATAGATGGATAGATTTTGATGAAGCCCCAAACAATCGAAACATGACTGATGATGAAATTATAGAATTAGTATGTACAGCAAAAAACCCAGACGAGTGCAATGAAGAAGATGGAGAGGAAGAGGATGAAGAAACTTTAAAGGAAAAATGTAATATGGAAAAAAAATAAAAAAAATTTGAAGAAATTCTGGCATTTATGGACACTTGTAACGGGAGTTTGAAATTAAGGACATGATGACTCGGTACAATTTGTATATGAAGTTTTTAAAAACCAAGAGCCAAGGGAATGAAACAAATGTCAATTACAGAGTCTTTTGCAATGCTTCCAAGAAAGCTCGCATTGCATCACCTGCACCTGACTCATCGATCGCACCCAGTCAACCCAACACCAACATCCACCACCACCTCTTCCATGTAAATAACTATGCTTCATCAACATAAGCAGATCAGGACTTCAATTATTGGCGAGTAAAAGCAAAATACGGTCGCATTTACGCTATGAACCTGTATTTTTTCCCCCCTAGATTTGTTTACACTTTCATATTTTTCCTCCATTTCTCGTATACGAACTTACATGTTAACCGACAGGTCTCGTCCCCAAGGGGTTCGGAAACCAAGTGGTGCTCTGTAGCAGCTTCCATGGTGGTGTTACTATGCCAGTGGTGGTGGTGGTGCCAGTACAAGGAGCACTGGTGACTCCGTGAGGGAGGATCATGATAATTTTGTACCACAAACCACAATTTGATAATGCTGATGTTGCACCCCCTTTCCCCATATACAGGTGAAGATACGAGTGAAAGTGAATATTTTATGGCTTATCTTGACGAGCCATTCATGCAACATCTTGTTGACAAAACCAACATTGCAACTTATTGCTGGTGGTTTATCACCCGATTCACGTATGACACACTGGAAGGATACCACAGTGGCTGAATTGTACGTGCTCTTAGCTCTGTCTGCTTATGAAACATTCCGTGAAACACGTAATACAGGATTATTGGAACAAAGGCTGTGCCGTTTCAAGCCCAGTGTTCAACAAGTACATGTCATGCTACACGTTTCCGACATTTCTACGGTGCACACATTTTGAAAATATTACAAATGATGAAATTATCGACTTTTGGAAAGTGGGGGAAAAGCATTCAGTGATACGAGACAAATTTTGTGATTACTTTGTACCAGGTCAATTGTCATTGATGAATCCCTAGAGCTTTTCAAGACTACCTTACAATTCAAAAGCTTGGCTAGATACCACCTACAGGAATTAAAGCCAAAGGTGTACGCGAGTGCATTGTTTGCAAGCACACAGAACGAAGGAACAAAGCAAAAATCTGTATCTGGTGCATAGAGTGCAGAGTCGTGCTGTGTACCATGGACCATTTTTTACTATCCTTTTGAAGTACAGGTACCGAGTCTAATACAGTACGACTAAATAGTGCGAGAGTACACATTTTAAATAAATTGAATACTGAACAAGTAATATTGTGAAAAACTTTTGTGGACACATTAGTGACAAGTACAGTACAGTTACTTTGAACATTATGAACGTTGTACTGTGTACAAATTGTAAAGGACACAATTGTGCATCAGATATGCTAAAAAAAAAAAAATAATTGAGAGCAGTGAAAATGCATTGAAAAAAAGTAAATGAAAATATATTTGTGGCAATTCGCAAGTCTTGGAATCGCCTGCGTGACTGTCTCCGGGAGCTTCCTGCATGGGTGATCATGTTCTGGTGATGTCCAGCCGCATCTTCTCCACGTCACTACACCCAAATTATTTTTTTTTAAGTTCTTTTTACATTTACATGTTTAGGGTAGAGATTTTAACAAAACCAAAGCACACATTTTTTGGGGGAGCACTTCAATTTCAGCCATGCAGCACAGAGGTGTTCATTGCCTTATTTTGAAATACGTAGTATATATATATTTTTTTATATTTAATACGAGTTAATTCTGCTTGCAAAATTCACTGGTTCGTCAGTGTTTATGATGAATTGGGCCAGTCTCTCCCAGCTGAGGGATGGGGCGACTCCCCTAAAGATATTTTACCAATTCTTATTGTGTTCATTGCATTAATATTATGTATCCAGCAAATAAATTTATGAAACCCAAACTAGCTCATTTAGTCAAGATACTGTACTGTGTATTCTGCAATGTTTAGTATCTTGTGGGTGGCTGCCCCACTGGTTCTCCGAGGCACTGTTGGATGACAATTTTTTTTTCAACTATTGAATCTTGAGCAGTATTATCTGCCATTTAATAGTTTCCCTATTATTGGGTGGTCCTGGCCAACTTACCTCACTAAATTGGCCTTACGAGACTGTCACCGTCCTGCATCATTAAATTATTTCCTTAATTACCGATTGTCACCATCTATGCTGGCAGCAGTTCTTTTATCACCACAATGTTTGAATTCTTTCAAAACAGGCCTCTTCTTGCCACTCAAAGTACTGCTTTCAGATTGGAGCCTTCACAACTACATAGCTTGTAGCACAACTTGAATACTTATAATTTTCCACAGTATGGTTTTTCTATCTTTACAGTAAATGAACTGTATGTACAGAGCTAATTAGAACTCTGTTAGCTCTCACCAGGAATGTGAGAAAGAAGTTAGCAGGATAATGTGATAAGCCATTACAACTATACTGCATAGCACTTGGAAGGAATCAGGATAAGGAGTTGGAATGGATAGAGGGAAAGATTGGTGCCCAACCACCTGGGCGGTCGGGGATTGAAAGCCGACTGGCATGACACAAAACTGTTGCTACACTGTCCAGCCTAAGTGGTTGGGTCAGGAATGTGTGCTTTCTGAAAATACTCACATTACAATAATTTGTTAAAAAATTAACTAAAAGTGCATAAAGAAAGTTTTCAACCTAATCTAATTGTTAATTAGAATTTCTATAGAATATGAATCAGATTATACAGCAAATGTTTATACTGAAGACATCAAATTTGACAATATTGAGAATCTACCTAGATGTTAGAATTGTTTTGTTTCATTTATATACAAGCAGTTCCTACGTTCTTTTAAAGCCACTAGCATGCATAGCGTTTCAGGCAGGTCCTTATCCAAATTTTCCTTGGCATACGACCCGCCAAATCGTTTAACAACCAGGTACCCATTCACTGCTGGGTGAACAGAAGCGCATAGCCAACGAACCCAGGCCAACATATTATGCAAAATGAAACGCTACGCGTACCAGTGGCTGTAAAAGAATGTAACTCTTGTAAGAAATGTGAAACATGTTAGCAAAAAGATATAATTAAATATACAACAACGGCTCATTATTTGCGGGGTGTAACATCAACACACTATATATAACAACTAGCAAGATCAGACAAAGGACTCGCAATATGAGTAATAATTACCGCGACAGTGGGTAAAGGTGGAGACGGTCAGGTGTGAGGGCAGCCAGAGACTAAGGAGTTCAAACTGGGCGACGACACAAGTAAACACCACCAGCTGACTGCTCCCCGCCTCCCAACCCCTGACTCACCTGCGCGGCTCCGGTTTCCACTTACCCAATACTTTACACTATAAATGGACTTTAAAGCTTATACTCCCACCTAATATATTCTATAATGTACATTATTGTGTGAAATAAAATTTATAGTATGTGTGCTTGTGTGAGTACGTTCAAAGCAGTTGCAAAATATGATTTTTTTTATACCTTGTTACTTACTTTTGTTACGTATCCTTTATGTAAGTTACTTAGTTATATATATTAGCTATCATATCTGTCATGAGGCTATTTTACTTAAGTTTGTTTGTAACTTTATTGTAAGTTTTCTGCAAGTTAATTAGTCTATATAATATCCACATCGCATACTAATATTTTTACGATTTCGGACAGCAGCTTTGGACGTTTCGTATGTGTACGTGTTCAATATTAAAACGACAATATAATGTTATTAACAGTTAAAATCTTCTCCATAACAGGCATATAGTTATTAAATAAAGTTTAGTGATGTGATGAACATAATCCGGGCTTGGTAAGGACGCCGCCCGCCAGCGTAAACACACCACACCCGAATGCCCACAAACATGATCGAACGCACAAAACACAAGACTTTTGCCAGTTTTGGATAAACAACTTTTACATTTATTATGTGATAGTTATACTTGTATATACTAATACGTATTAAAGGTAGTTTAGTTTTTTAGTTTAGTTCATTTATTATGCACCCCATACCCATCTTGTGGGTGGTAGTGGAAAGGGTTAGAAGCACATAACGGACGCTTGCTTTGCTGACGACACAACCTTCATTTACTCCAGTCCTGACCCCCTTGCTCTAAATGCCACAGTAAATACTGAGCTAAATAAAGTCCATCTTTGGCTAACTGCCAACAAACTCACCCTTAACATTGACAAAACTTTCTATATTCTGTTTGGCAATAAATCCTCTAATCAAATAAATCTCAAAATAAACAATACCCAAATTTGTAACAAATTAGATGGCAAGTTCCTTGGCATTCTCATTGATCACAAACTGAATTTCCAGGGTCACATTCTAAAGATATCAAAAAAAGCTTCAAAAACTGTTGACATTCTTTCTAAGATCAGATATTATGTACCACGCCCTGCCCTGGTGACTCTCTATATTACTCCCTCGTCTATCCATATCTCAACTATGGTATTTGTGCTTGGGGTTCTACTACCCAAAATCATTTACGTCCTTTAATTACTCAACACAAAGCTGCTATTAGGACAATATCCAACTCTGGCCCCAGACATCACTCGGTACCCCTACTCAAATCTCTGAATATGTTAGATATTAAGTCACTGCACATTCTCTCATGTGTATTTTATATATATAAAACGCTGAACTGTAATGCCAATCCTGACCTCAAAAGCTTCATTGAAGGTTGTAACAGAACCCATGAGCACCACACCAGAAATAAATACAGTTTTGATATTCCAAGAGTACGACTTAATCAAACTAGAAATGCTTTACAAATCAAGGGACCCAGAATGTGGAATGACCTTCCCAACCATGTTAAAGACTACCTCTCTCAACCAGTTTAAGATAAAAATGAAGCACTACCTAATAAATTCCCTGTAACCTACCTTACCCCTCTATTGTCAACCCATGTCTGTTTTTTTAAACAACGCTGTTTAAGAACATAAGAACAAAGGTAACTACAGAAGGCCTATTGGCCCATACGAGGCAGCTCCGATCTATAACCACCCAATCCCACTCATATACTTGTCCAACCCGCGCTTGAAACAATCAAGGGACCCCACCTCTAGCACGTTACGCGGTAATTGGTTCCACAAATCAACAACCCTGTTACTGAACCAGTATTTACCCAAGTCTTTCCTAAATCTAAACTTATCCAATTTATACCCATTGTTTCGTGTTCTGTCTTGTGTTGATATTTTTAATACCCTAATAATATCCCCCCTGTTATGTCCATTCATCCACTTGTAAACCTCTATCATCTCACCCCTAACTCTTCGCCTTTCCAGTGAATGCAACTTAAGCTTTGTTAATCTTTCTTCATATGAAAGATTTCTAATTTGGGGAATTAACTTGTCATCCTACCCTGGACACGTTCAAGTGAATTTATATCCATTCTATAATACGGCGACCAAAACTGAACTGCATAATCTAAATGGGGCCTAACTAGAGCAAGATATAGCTTGAGAACCACACCAGGTGTCTTGTTACTAACGCTTCGATTAATAAATCCCAGTATCCTATTCGCCTTATTACGAACATTCATGCATTGATCCTTTTGTTTTAAATTCTTACTAATCATAACTCCCAGATCCCTTTCGCAATCCGACTTCGCAATCTCAACACCATCTAGCTCGTATCTTGTAACTCTATCATCATTACCTAGCCTCAGAACTTTACATTTATCAGCATTAAACTGCATTTGCCAATCATTTGACCATTTCAAAACCCTATCTAGATCAACTTGAAGTGATAGTGAGTCCTCCTCCGAATTAATTTCCCTACCGATTTTCGTATCATCGGCAAATTTGCAAATGTTGCTACTCAAACCTGAATCTAAATCATTTATATATATTATAAACAACAGAGGTCCCAGGACAGAGCCCTGAGGTACTCCACTAACAACATTTTCCCACTCTGACTTAACCCCATTTATACTAACTCTCTGTTTCCTTTGGAATAGCCATGCCCTAATCCAAGTTAATATAGCACCCCCAATACCATGAGCTTCTATTTTTTTAATTAGTCTTTCATGTGGCACTGTATCAAAAGCTTTGCTAAAGTCAAGGTACACAACATCACAATCCTTACCACTATCAACTGCCTCAACTATGCTGGAATAAAAAGTTAGCTAATTTGTTAAACATGAACGGCCATTTGTAAAACCATGTTGCGACTCATTTATTAATTTATGTTTTTCAAGATGGAGACGAATTGTATTTGCAATTATTGATTCAAGTAACTTTCCCACAATAGACGTTAGGCTAATTGGCCGATAGTTTGACGCAAGTGATCTATCTCCTTTCTTAAAAATTGGTACCACATTAGCTACCTTCCATGACTCTGGCACTCTGCCTGACTCTATTGATTTATTAAATATGGTAGACAGTGGCTCAGAAAGCTCCTCTTTGCATTCTTTAAGCACCCTGGCAAACACTTCATCCGTCCCTGGGGATTTGTTTGGTTTTAGTTTTTCTAATTGTTTAATTACATCCTCCCTGGTAACTGCTAAACTAGTCAACCTGTCCTCATCCCCACCCACATAGACTTGTTCGGCTGAAGGCATATTGTTAAGTTCTTCTTTAAAGTAAATACAGATATAAAATATTTGTTAAAAATACTACTCATCTCCTTGTCATTATCCGTTATTTGACCTGTCTCAGATTTTAATGGACCTATCCTTTCCCTAGTCTTAGTTCGATATAACTGAAAAAACCCTTTAGGATTTGACTTTGCTTGCTCTGCTATGCGAACTTCATAGTTTCTTTTTTGCTTTCCTAATCTCTTTTTTAACATTTCTAACCAGTTGTATGAATTCCTGTTCTAAACTGACTTCCCCATTCTTAATCCTTTTGTACCAAGCTCTCTTTTTACCTATAAGGTTCTTTAAATTATTTGTTATCCACTTTGGGTCATTAGTATTCGATCTATTCAATTTGTATGGTATACTACGTTCCTGTGCTTTGTTTAGAATATTCTTAATAAAGTTATATATTAAATCCACATCGAAATCCCCTTTTACGTCACCTATCGCTGGGTTCATGTCTCGCTCTAAGACCGGCCCATACCCCATACCCAAGAGTTTCCAATCTATTTGACCCAAAAAATTTCTTAGGCTTTTAAAATCAGCTTTTCGAAAATCTGGCACTTTAACAGAATTTTCTCCTACAGGTCTATTCCATTCTATGCTAAATCTGATTACTTTGTGATCACTGTTCCCTAGCTCACTACCTATTTCGATGTCATTAATTTGTGTTTCCCTGTTAGTTAACACTAAATCTAAAATATTATTTTCCCGCGTTGGTTCCTTAATGTGTTGCGTAAGAAAGCAATCGTCAATTAATTCTAGAAAATCTTCTGCTTCACTATTCCCTGTTTTGTTCACCCAGTTTATTCCACAAAAATTAAAGTCACCCATGACATAAATACTGTTAGATCTTGATGCTCTAGATATTTCATTCCATAGATGCTTTGCTTCCATTCTGTCTAAATTTGGTGGCCTATATATAACTCCTATTATAATATTATTTGCTTTTTCGTTTAATTCTATCCAAATAGTTTCTGTGTGTGGCTCAGTTTTGATTCCCTCTTTGAGACTACATTTCAAATTGTCCCTAACATATATGGCTACTCCCCCTCCTCGTCTAATATATATATCTGTGTGAAATAGTTTAAATCCATTTATCTGATATTCAGCTAATAGTTCTCTATTTTCTACGTTCATCCACGTTTCGGTAAGTGCAATAATATCTATTTTTTCTGTGCAGACAAGAGCATTTAATTCATTAATTTTATTTCTTAGACTTCTACTGTTAGTGTAATATATCCTAAGTGAATTGTTATTTTGAGGCCCTTTTCTTTCCCTGATCATTTTGCCAATTCTTTTCTCCCACGAACACATACTTTTATTACCTCCTTCCTCAAAATCAATTCCCATACCACTATCTACTAACAGTTTAAACCCAACAAACACCTCTAATCACTGGTTCCAACGAGTTCGCAACAGCAACAACCCCAGCCCTCGATAGATGCACCCCATCACGAGCATACATTTCATTTCTTCCATAGAAGCGTTCCCAGTTGTCTATGAAAGATATTGCATTTGATTTGCAATATCTTTCCAGCCGGCAATTGACACCAAGTGCCCTTGACATCCATGCATTTCCCACTCCCTTTCTTGGAAGAATGCCACATATGATCGGGATTCCTCCCTTGCTCCTAACAATTCAATGGCTGTCCTAAATCTCTGTATTAGTTCTTCACTCCTAACTCGCCCAACATCATTACCCCCTGCACTAATACAAATAATGGGTTTG